TGCTCATCACCAACAGCCGGAGATCGAGATCCTTCACGAGAGCAGCCACCGTCACTTCGCTCTTCAGTCTGGCCCTCCTGCTCATGCCCGACACGGCCGACATCACACTGCGGTTGGCAGATGCTGACACGGACCGGGGGGCGGCCTTGGCGCTTATGCAGTGTGTGCGGCGGTGCATGCGATACTACGACGTGCAGCTGCCCATGACCGACGAGGACCAGGGCGAGAACCCGCGGACGTTTGTCGTCAGGATGACCAAGAAGGCCGGCGTAGACTGATGGATGGGTGCGTGGGCCAGGGAGGTCAGAGGAGACGATAGAGTAGCCAGCCGGCCACGGCATGCCGCGACTTGTACAGATTTCGTCGCTGCTACTTTGTAGCCGACTGACTTTAGACTCATGCCTGCACATGAATGAATCGATGGATGGAATACATGGAGTCGGAACGGTCATTATCTCACGCGTGCCTGCACACTGTTAAAGGCCACACCAAAGTGTCCACTCTGGTGTCCCTCCCGCCTTGATGTTCGGACGGTGGTGTTGATTAATCGCACCCACTCACTCACTCACTCACCATGCAGTTTGGTGACAGACAGACAGACATGTCAGCCAGTTAGTATCCATCCATCCATCCATTCGTCCATTCGTCCATTCATTCACACTCACTCAGACGGCCACTTGTCACTCACTCGCGCATCCAGACCTCTCTCCCTCTCCCTCTCCCTCTCCCTGTCCCTGTCCCTGTCCTCCTTCGCTCCCTCCCTCTGTCTCTGTCTGCCTGTGTCTGTTGGTTGGTCGGGTCCATGTGTGCGTGTGTGTCTGTGTCTGTGTCTGTGTCTGCGTCGGTCGTTCACATTGAGTCCTTCTACCTCTACATACCAGATCGCAGACATCCATGTGAACGAACGACACAGACAGTGGAGGAGGTAGCCTGTGTCTCCGTCTCTCTCTCTCTTTGAGTGTGTGTGTGTGTGTCATGAGGCCACACACTGAGTGTCGTGTTTGATGTGAGCATGTCTATTCATTTGGACACCTAGGTCTCTCTTGGTTCCTTCCACGAGCCGATGCACCTCATGAACAGCCTTCCACTCATCGAGGGTCAGTGCCAATGAAGGTGAAAACCATCACACCACTCATACTCATACACACACACGCAAACATGACATCAAATCATCCATTGCGAACGACCAATGCCATCCAAACGAGACAGAGGAAGCGCCGGCACCACTACCGTGACGACGGTCTCGCACGCAGCACACCACCCAGCATCACAAGCCACGAATCTTCCATTTGTTCACACATCCCCAAACACGCCACCCACGCAGTCAGTCTGCACCGCTATCTAGTCATCCATCTCATCGCTATCGACACAGATGGGCGAGAAGTAGTCAGTCAGTGATCAGTCAGTCGCTCGCCCGCCGTGACGGGCAGCCCCTCCCGATACAGCACAGCTCAACACTACAGGGGCCTGTCTGCACAGCGGCGAACCCGTGAGGGCTCAGCCGCTCGGCTACGCCTGCCTCCCCATCATCGTGCAACGACTCGACAGGGAGTGCATCGTCGGTGGTGAGTGTGATGTAATCTAGCTTAGGCAGTGTGGTGATGGCCTTGATGGATGTGGGAAACAGGCGAGACCAGACTAGCAACTCGCCCTCGTCTGCCCCCCATCTCCCTCCCCGCCCTCCGCAGCACCGTAGAAGGGTGGGGTAGCGAAGAATGCGCTGGCTGATGTGCCGGATGCGATGCTCCATGCCCTTGCCCTTCTCCTTCTCGCTGCTGCCCTTGTCGTCCCTGCCTCCCCCACCGACACATCCATCTCCATCTTGCCGCTGCGATCCGCCCCACCCGCCCCATCCTCACCGCCCTCATCTGCCTGCCCGTCCCACACCACCCGCAGCGATGGGAGGTCGTCTATCGTCTTGACGACGGCCTCCTCGCCC